TTGTAATTTCAGGTCACAGTATTTGGAACCAGTAGGTAATAGGTACTGCCCAGCAGGCTAAGCTTCTAGGGTAGGGCTTCATGTGTGTGTGTACCTGTTTGTACTTTACCCTGTCATCTGAGATGAACCGCTTGTTATAGTGTGATTTTATGTTTATTCTATAAAATGGGAATTATAAAATGGTTTAATTTGGCCTGGACAAATAAGAAAACTCTTAAACAAGTGAGGAGTGAAAGTGTGTATGTAGAAAGTTTCTTTCTTTTTTTTTGAGGTAGGGTCTCTGCTGCTTAGGCTGGAGGGCAGTGGCTCAATCTCAGCTCACTGCAACCTCAAACTCAAGTGATCCTCCTGTCTCAGCCTTTCAAGTGGCTAGAACTATAAGCGCACACCACCATACCCAGCTATTTTTTTTATGTTTTATAAAGACAAGATCTCAAACTCCTGGACTCGCCTATCTTGGCCTTCCAAAGTGCTAGGATTACAGCGTCAGCCACTGTGCACAGCCTATAGTTTTAATTTGTTTTTCCTTAATTAATGATGTTGAACATTTTCTCATGTACTTATGTGGTCATTTGCATGTTTTCCCTAGAAACATGATGTCTATTCAAGTCCTTTGCCCGTTTTTTTTGAAACAAGGTCTTACTTTGGCACCCAGGCTAGAGTGCTTTGGTGCAGTGGCATCATTGAAGCTCAGTGCAACCTTAAACTCCTGAGTGAAAGCGATCCTACTGCCTCAGCCTCCTGAGTAGCTGGGAGTACAGGTGCTTGTCACCATGCCCCACTGATTTTTCTAATTTTTGTAGAGATGGAGTCTCACTCTTGCTTAGGCTTATCTTGAACTCCAGAGCTCAAGCAATCCTCCTGCCTTGGCCAGCCACTGTGCCTGGCCTACTCATTTTTAAATTGAGTTTTTTGTGTTTTTGTGTTTTTTGAGTTGTGTTTTATACTCTGTACTGGACCATTCTCCAGTGTATGGTTTGGAAATATTTCTTCCCATTTTATGGGTTATCTTTTTATTTCCTTGATAGTGTCCTTTGGTGCATAAACATTTTTAATTTTGATGAAATGCAGTACATATATTTTTTCTTTTGTTTCTTGTGCATTTTGTGTCATATCTAAGAATCCATTACCAAATTCAGAGTCAAGATTTACCCCTATATTTTCTTTGAACAGTTGTAGTTTTTGCTCTTTATACTTAGGTCTTTGGTCTATTTTGAGTTTTTGTAAATGGTGTGAGGTAAGAATCTGACTTCATTCTTTTGCATGTGGTTATCTACTTGTCCCAGCATCATTGATTGAAGAGAGTTCTTTCTTCAATGAATGGTCTTGCAGTCTTAGCAAAAATCAGTTAACCAGATATTTATTTTTGTGCTCTCAGTTCTATTCCATTGATCTATATGTTCTTATGCAAATACTACACTGTTATGAAATATTGTATTTGAAGTATGTTCATCAACTTTGTTTTTCTTTTTTGAGATAGAGTCTCATTATGTCACTCTTGGTAGAGTACCATAGTGTCACAGCTCACAACAACCTCAGACACTTAGGCTTCAGTGATTCTCTTGCCTCAGCCTTCCAAGTAGATGGGACTATTGGTGCCTGTCACAATGCCCTGCTAATTTTTTTGTTGTTGTTTTAGTTGTCTTTGTTTAGTAGGCCCAGGTCAGGTTCAAACCCGCCATCCCTGTTGTATGTGGCCGGTGCCCTAACCACTGAGCTACGGATGCCGAGCCTCTTTTTTTTTTTTTTTTTAAGATTGTTTCGGGGCTCAGCGCCTGTGGCTCAAGTGGCTAAGGCCCCAGCCACATACACCTAAGGTGGTGGGTTCGAATCCAGCCCAGGCCTGCCAAACAACAATGATGGCTGCAACCAAAAAAAATAGCCAGGTGTTGTGATGGGCACCTGTGGTCCCAGCTACTTGGGAGGCTGAGCCCAGGAGTTGGAGGTTGCTGTGAGCTGTGATGCTACAGCATTCTACCCAGGGGAACAGTTTGAGGCTCTGTCTTAAAAAAAAAAAAAAAAAAAGATTGTTTCGGGTGGCGCCCATAGCTCAGTGGGTAGAGGCCTGGCCACATACACCAAGGTTGGTGGGTTTGAACCTAGCCTGGGCCAGCTAAAATCAACAATGACAACTGCAACAAAAAAATAGCCTGGTATTAGGGTGGGCATGTGCCTATAGTCCCAGCTACTTGAGAGGGTAAGGCAAGAGAATCCCTTAAGCCCAAGAGTTTGAGGTTGCTGTGAGCTGTGACGTTATGGCACTCTACCAAGGGTGACATAGTAAGAGTCTGTCTCAAAAAAAAAAAAAAAAAGATTGTTTCATCTATTCTCAGTTCTTTGCAATTCTTCTTTTTTTTTTTT